TCCAGAGCAAGCAATGGAAGGAGGCTGGTCTTGTCTCAGGAATTCAGATTGGGGGTGGTAACACCTGGGGATGAAGGCTGGTCTCAGGTATGCAAGGGTGAGGTGGGGGAGGGAGCAGGCTTTGAGGGCTCCAGGGGACTAGACTGAAGAATTAGGTTGGTCTGGATGCGAAGGGTCAAGGTGTAGTAGGTGTGGTTGAACTTACTCAAGAAAGATGCGGGCCTCAGGAAGCTAGGGGTTGAGCCAGCCAGGAAGGAAGGTTTGTCTCACGTATGCAAAGGTGATGCTGGGGAGGGAACAGGCTTTGAGGTCTCCAGGGGACTAGACTGAGGAATTGGGTTGGTCTTGGTGCAAAGGATCAGGAAGTAGTGGGGCCCCTTGGCCAATACAGTAGTCCAGAGGTACGGGGTGCCAAGAAAAGAAATGGGCCAGTTCCCTCTCTAGGAGGAGAGATGGAATTGGGAAGCTGGGAGTGTTGGTTGTGGGAGTCAAGGTGCTGTGGGCATGGTCAAATTTACCCAGGAAAGATGCTGGCCTCAGGAAGCCAGCATCTTTCCTGGGTAAAGGAAGGTGAATGTGGTTGTGGGAATCAAGGTGCAGTGGTTAAGTTTAATTTTTAAATTTAAAGTTTAAATTTAAAAATTTTAAGAACAATCTTAAGAATTTCATGCATGAGGACAGTGTTTATACATCCTCCCTCTCCACCTTCTAACTCCTTCCATGTACCTCCACCACTCTCTATTCATGACCTCTTCTTCTGTAATTAGTATTTTTACATATATACAACTGACTGAGTCGATTCAATGTTGTCCATATGTATATGTGTGTAGGACTGAGCAGTGGGAGCCCCCAACCCCTGGGGGGAAACTTAGTCTGCCTTTCTTTGCCTTGGTAGATGTGACCTTGTGAAATAACCCCTCCTCCCATATACACTGGCATGCTGACTGGTGTCATTATATAGATCTTGTTTAGGTAATGATATTGAGATTTCATTGGTATATCATCCCTGTTATGTCTATAAGATACTAGTAGACATCCTGGTCTTCTGGCTCTTAACATTTTTTCTTCCCCCTCTTCTGGAATGTTCTCGGTCTGTTCATTATCTCTATGTCTTGGCATAGGACAGATACTAAAACATATCTGTACAATAAAAAGATTCCGCACCATGGAAAAAAACAAATGGCAGTTTGTCACCTTTTAAATTGATCAGCTTTACTCCTTTGCTCATTCTACTCTGCCGTTAGCAATAACATGAGAGTCAGACATGCATGAAAGACTTAGTTTTGCCTAGGATCTTGTATCTTGACAAGGAGCCTGAGAAAATGGAACAAAGATCTTCCACTGTTCTAAAATCACATGTTGCAATAGTCATTTATAAAGGAGAGTGATATGAGCATAGCAACAGTAAAATGAGCTAAGTTGTTTGACAGCTTTCTATAGTATAAAGTTGAACTTATTCATAATTTAAAATCTTGCAGACAAATGTTAGTAGTTTCTAGGTATTTATTAAGAAAGTAAGGCAAGAAATTTCTGGGTAACATGGTGGACTAAAAGCTGCCTCAATATGACCTGGTGAAGAAGAATTACAATAAAAAAATCAACTCCACTTCAGAGACAGAGAGGAAGGTCTTCAGAAATTAACAAAGATAGTGACAGGTTATCTTAGAAGTGTGTAAAAATATAAATGGCATATCCAAAAGAAATGAGGCCAAACACAGCTCAAGTTGGACAGCTACACAGCAGAACCAGGGGGAGGGAAGACACCTCTGAAAGGTAAGACAGGCAGTCTTAGTGAAAAGAGACTGGCATTTCTATCTCCAGGACAAGTTTATAGCCCTCAGAAACTTCAAAATTATCTGTAGGTTTTGGTGAGATAGTGATTTCTTTGGTGAAAGAAATCTGTTCTTTCATGCTACATGACTCAGAAGACAGGAACAAAGTGCTATATGAGAAAAAAACCTATTTTTGGAAATTGAGTTTTCCTTGGGGCCTGAGAGTAGAAAAGAACAACCAAAGGACAGAGAGTCTCAAAAAATAGCTTCTGAAACAACAAAATGAATTCACAATGAAAAAAAATGGGCTATGGAATTCTCTATAGAAGAAATACAAATGACTAGGATACACTTTAAAAAGTGTTCAACCTACTTAGCTATCAGGGAATTGCAGATTAAAACTACTTTACAATTTTATTGCATCCCAGTCAGAATGGCTACCATCAGAAATACAAATGACAAAAAATGATGGCCATGAATATGGCAAAAAGGGAACCCTCATAAACTGTTTGTGAGAATGTCAACTCACATAGCCACTTTGGAAATCAGTCTGATGCGTTCCCCTAAAACTAGAAATAGAACTTCCATATGACCCAGTTATACCACTCCTGGGCATTTGTTTGTTACAATCTCTAAGAAACAGAATCAACCAAAATGTCTGTCTATTGATAACTGGATAACAAAATTTGATACATATACACAATGAAATATTACTCAACTTTAAAGAGAAAAATGAATATCCAGATCAATAAATTGAACTGTAAATAATTATACTTGAGTGTGGTAACTCAAGCCAAGAGACACAAGCACTGTATGTTCTCTCTCATATGTGGGTCATGGCTTTAAACCTTTTGTTTTGTGTATTTAACTTGGAGCAGGACTGGACAGCAGGAAATTAGAGAGGGATTGTTAAATGTGCATGGGGGTTGTATTAAGGGAGGGGAAATAGTAAATTATAGGTAAAATGGAAGTAGAGAGGTAGAATACTAAGGGTAGAAAGGCTAACCCAGGGCAGGGGAAGGGAGGATTGTAGAAACAAGGGGTGGTAAAAAGGTTAATGGAAAGAGAGGGCATATGAAAAAGCCCCATGAAAACCTCCTGTGTGGCAACTTAATTAAAAAATAAAATTGGAGGGGACACTAGAACATATGCGTTGTGAAAGAAGATGGAGGGTACTGAGAGTTAAAGATTTAAGCAAGGAACGGATATGGGGATTGAGGAGAGGCAGGGGTAGTGGTTGGGGTGACCAAAACTAAAGATGTATGAAAAACCCTATGGAAACCCATTAGTTAGTAATTTCATCCAAAAACATAATTAGAAAGGAATTAGAACAAAGATACTATGCATGGGTGGACAATGCCAATCCCGGAAGACATTAAGCAAAACTTATAGTACCAGGTACAGGTTATTTCCATATTGTTAAAAATATTCATGCGTTTTTGTAACTACATGCACATGCAGTCTAAAAGGTACATTCTTTTTGATCACAGAGCCCGACTTAAACTAAAAAAGAAGATACCATGGGAAAAAGAATGCCCAGTTGTTTATTGACTTTGTAACATTACAGTGAAATTTTTTTTCATTTTTGAAATATGATATTTCACTCATGCATATCAAAAGCTCAGTCATGAATAAAATGAAGCTTGTACTTTCCTTAAAAGGTTTAATCACACAAATCACTACATTTAAGTGAACATACACTTTTAAAGAATTACTTGTTCAAAAGCCTTACAAATTTTTCTTTCTTTTAAAGGTGAACTTCATTGGTGAAACTACAGAAGCACTAGTTAAACTTTGTAAAATAAAAAGCACACAAGTAAATCCGCAGAGTCTAACAGGTGTAACAAAGCAGTAAGAGCATGGCAGAGTGAACTCTTTAAAAGCTTGATGTTGCAGGTCACGGTGGTTACATGCCTTTGATCCTGGCAGGCAGATTTCTATGAGATCAAGGCCAGCCTACTCTACACACTGAGTCCAGGCTAGCTGGGCTACAGGGAGACCCTGGTTTAA